TCGGCCTTTTAGGTCGCGTAGTGTCTTGTGACTTGTGTACACATGCATTTTGCTTTCTGTTGGACTAATATCTTGTGGTCTTTTGGCAGCCACCGTGTCTAGTGCCGATTCGCGCCGCCTTCTCTCGGGCAGCCAAAGACGCCAGGTGAAGAGGATGCGCCCCAACCGGACCCCTCCTTTGGGAAGCACTGAGTTCGGGTCTACCGGGCCGGTCCTGCCCTCTCCTCTGCCCGAGGTTCCGATGCCCCCTTCTGAGGGGACTAGTGGGTTCAACCTTGGGGGAAGCGAGCCCTCTCTAATAGGGGAGGCCCCCTTTAACCCCCTTCAGCCCCATCCTTACCCTTGGTTCCCAGTGGGAAACTGGGAAGGGGTAAACGATTATCTGGTAGTTTGCCGGAGGAGTCGGAAGGCAATCAATAATGATGAGATCGCTCAGTGGGGAAGCATGGAGCCTGGGGATCTCTCTGCGTTCGCCTCTGCCCACTGCATGGTGGTAAGTGGCCTTTTTCCCTTTTCCGCCATCCATGCCATGGCTCTCTAGACGCGCATCCATCGCGTCGACGCCCTCGACCAACGTGCTGCCAATCAGAAGCTCCAGGTCGAGCTCGATCGAATCCGGGGTGAGATCCATCACACTCGCAAGGGGAGCGAGTCTCAGGAGCTGCTCATCCACGACCAGGAGGCTCAAATCGCTCGGCTTACTGAAGAGAGCGCTCGCTATAGGGAGGAGTAGTCGAGGATGGTGGGGGAGAGGGAGCTCCTCAGGCAACAGGTGCAGGAGTTGGAGTCCACTCTTCTGAATCGAACTCGAAACTTTGAACAGATGGTGGAGGCTGAGTGAGAGAAAGCGGTCTGGGATTTTAAAGACTCCTAGGAATTTCATGACCTCCAGGCGGAGTATGGTTCGGGTTCGTACCGCTCAGGGTTCAAGCTCTGTCTGTGGCTGGTTCGGAAGAAGTTCTCCGGGCTCAACCTCGACGGCATTACTATGAAGGGTCTGTCCCCTGAGACAGCAGACCATGCGGATGAAGAGGAGCCTGACTCTCTGGAGGATGAGGAGGCGGATTCTTGAGGTGGCATTTCTTTGGACTTCTATGGCTTTCGGGTGCCGTAAACCCGGTCTTTCACCAGTTTTTTGGTTGGGTGGCCGTGCCCTGTGATGATCAAACCTTTCCCGAGCTATTTAGCTCGATTGCTGCACTTGTTATTTTCCTTTACTGCATTTGTTTGTATGTATTTTTTTTATTTTTTTTTATTTTTTTTATTTTTTTTTATTATTTTTTATTTTTTTTTTACGATGAAAGTCTCTCCCCTCTTTTGAGTATGATGAACTCCTTTCATTTTTGCTAAAGCGATCTCATCATTTGGGTTTTTGAAGTTACCTACCCAAAGTAGGGCTCTTCGGTAGGCGTTCTCCCTATGTCACATTTAGGGCCTCCGTGGCATACCGCGAAGTGATTACTACGTACGTCCGAACTAAGCATTGGTTGGTTATCCTTTAGTTCGACCGACGTATCGAGACGAGCTGTTCTTCGTGGGGTTTGAACCCGAGTTTCTTACGCCTTTAATATTTCATACTTTGCCTTCGCCATTGAGG